AAACAATGTGAACAAAACTACTCAACTGCTATTCAGTCCTTGAATATTTATGCGTGTGTAATGTGTGCAAAAGTCCATGTCAATTTCTGAGACTAATAAACATAGTCCTTTAGCCAACCTGGCTCACGTCTTTGACGTGTCCCACGTGAACAAGCATCAGAAGACACTGAGTTTCCAGACAGTGGAACTTGAGAAGGAATCAGGTTTTCTGCATTTGTGGTCAGTCTATTTGTTGCATTAGTCGGCACAGATGCAAGACACGATGCATGCCACTTCTTTCCATCATCCAAGAGGTAGGTGTAAGGACCAACTTTTTCTCTAACCTCAACTGGAGGAGTGAATCTTGGGTGTCCTTTTGGTACATGCACTGACTTTTTTATACGCACTTTATCCCCTTTTCGGAAAGAAGAATGATGCACTCGATGCTTGTTATCGAAACGAGATTTCATGACATCCTGACGTGCTGAAACACGTTTCTGCAGCTCTTTAGATTCACGGCCAGAAGGTGAGGGTTTCAGAACATTGAGGCGAGTACGCATTTTCCTCCCATGAAGCAATTCAAAGGGGGAAACACCTGTCACAGCATGAGGTGTAGCACGATAGATTTGCAGGAAGTCAGTTACTGTTTCTTTCCATGGTGCTGATTGTAGGATTGCTGATTGAATTGTACTTTTCAGAACTCTGTGGAAGCGTTCAATAGCTCCATTCGCAGCCGGATGATACACTGATGTGCGAATGTGCTTAATATCTCTGTTTTTCAGGAAAGCAGCGAACTCTGGCGAAGTAAACTGAGGCCCATTATCACTCACCAGAGTGGTCGGGTTCCCATGTCTGCTGAAGACGGAGGTAAGAAAAGCAGTCACCTGTTTTGTTGCAATAGATGCAGTAAAGGCTACCTCAGGCCATTTACTATAGTAGTCAGTGAGTGTCAGAGCGTATCGACAGTCCCAGACAGCAGTCTCGAAAGGACCCACAATGTCTATTCCCAGCTTTTCCCAAGGTGCAGATGGTAACGGAACAGGCTGGAGGGGCACAGCAGAGGTTTTCGCAGTTTTGTCCAGGGAAAGACATAACTGACAAGCGGTAATCTTTTGTTCCACAAGTGTGTCCATTCTGGGCCACCAATACATGTCACGCAGGCGTTGCTTTGTTCTTACAATCCCCTGATGGCCTTCATGTGCAATGCGAATCAGTGACTCACGAAGTTCTCCAGGTACCACCACTCTAGACCCTCTAAACACAAAATCAGCTTGCACACTGAACTCATGTCTCAGTTTGTAATATGGGCGTAGAACAGGATCCAGAGCAGCAGAAGATGGAGGCCATCCACGGGCAATTTGTGTGCGAAGTGCAGAGAGTTCCGAACAACTAGCAGAGGCAGCAGCAAATTCATCCTGAGATATGGCAGTCGGACCAGTGGACAGGAAAGCAACAAATTCGGGCTCTGTATCTGGCTCAGCATCCGAAGTCAGAGGCAGGGGCAGGCGGGACAAACAGTCTGCAGTGTAATTTTGAGATCCAGCACGATACTCAACAGTGTAATTAAAACAGAGCAACCGAGCAGCCCACCGAGCTATGCGCATGCCAGCTCTATCAGTCCCTTTTGTGGTCAGTAACGTCGTCAAGGCTTGATGGTCAGTCCGCAGAGTAAATTTGCGACCCCACAGGTATGTCCGCCACTTCTCCACTGCCCAAACGCATGCCAGAGCCTCCTTTTCGACAGTGGAGTATTTTTGTTCAGCTGGGGTGAGTGTTCTGGATGCAAAAGCAACAGTACGTTCTTGACCATCAGTGCTTATTTGTGCAAAGACACCACCTAGTCCGTAGGCAGACGCATCAGTAGAAATGACCACTGGCAGCCCCGGGTCAAACAGTGAAAGAGCAGGACTGTTTACTAGTAGCTTTTTTACTTCAGCTAAGCTTTGTTGAGCTTCATCGGACCAATGAAATCCACTCTCATCTCTCAGGCAAGCACGCAGAGGCATCACTACGGAAGCGAAATTAGGAATGAACTTGTTGTACCATGAGAGAAGACCCAGCAGGGAACGTAACTGAACAGCATCTGATGGCGCAGGTGCATTGATTATTGCAGAGAGATGTTCCTGATCCAGCTGAATACCCTGTGATGTCACCATATGTCCTAAAAACTTCAAGCTCTTTTTTCTGAATTGACATTTAGACTCATTCAACACCAACCCAGCATCTTTGAGACGTTGCAGCACATTCTCTAGTGCTTGATCATGCACCTGTAGTGAGCGTCCCCACACGATGATGTCATCTAGATAGTTCGCAACGTTCTGGAGTCCTTTTAGAATGACAACCATCATCTTTTGGAATGCAGATGGAGCGGATGCCAAACCATAAGGTACCCTGCGGAACCTGAAGAGGCCCTCGTGCGTAATGAATGCGGTTAGGTCCCGGCTGTCGTCATGAAGAGGTACCTGATGATATGCACTTTCTAAGTCGATAGTTGAAAATACAGTTGCGCCTTGCAGTAATGTCATCATCTCCTCCATGTGTGGCAATGGGTAGCTGTCTACTATAACTGCCTTGTTGGGCCCTCGCAGATCCACACACATGCGGATGCCCCCTGTTTTCTTTTGGACCACAACAATTGGTGAAACCCATGGAGAGGAGTCAATTCTTTCAATTACACCAGCATGCAAGAGTCGTTCCAGTTCGGCGGAAACAGCATCACTGACAGAAAAAGGTAAGCGACGCAATTTGTGTCTGACAGGAGGAACAGAGTCAGAAATGTTTACCTTGTGTGTAAAGTTTTTTACACAGCCCAATGCAGTACGCTGTGACGGAGGAGTGGAGAGGGCACAAACTGAAGCGGATTGTGGTGGCGGCAGCACAGTGTTTCCGTCAAATCGAAGCTGGAGTCCCTTAATCAGGTCCATGCCTAACAAGGCTGTGCCATTGTCAACAATGAAGAAATGTGCAGGGCAGGTAATGCCATATTTAGACACTGTTGCAGGTAAACATCCAAGCACTGAAATTGGTTCTTGCAAGTAAGTGACTAAACGGGCAGATGGTGCTTGTAATGGCACAGTGCGAAAGTGCTGCTCATACAATTGTTTCGGCAGAATGGACACTGATGAACCAGAGTCGACTGTGAGTTGAAGAGACACAGGTGTAACAGCACACATAGCATTTATAGTTACATCACACATCAAGCGATCAGATGTTCCAGGTAGATGGAGAACACAAACCTCTGGTAATTCAACTGAATGCACTGAACGAGTAGGAGCAGAACGGCAGACACGTGCAAAATGTCCAGTCTTATTACAATTTTTACATTTAGCAGATGCAGCAGGGCAGTTCTGTGCGTTTGCAAGATGTCCAGTGGACCCACAGCGAAAGCATGTCCGAGCTGAAGAAGCAGTATGAGGTTTTGATGAGGTACGTGTTTTGAATTTGGCCTTTGAATGCTGTCGTCCAGACACAGAGGTTGCATGTATGGCTTGTACTGGAGCAGAAGTACTTGTAGTCATCGATTTTGCCTGTGCATCAGCGGCCTCTAGCTGCGTGAAAATTGTAATTGCAGTCTCTAGTGTCAATTTAGATTCCATTAATAATCTTTCCCGAATGCGAGGGTTAGCAATATTCTCTACCAGCTGGTCACGCAGCATATCATCAAGACTGTCATCAAATTCACATGTAGTTGCCAAATCTCTCAATGCAGCAATATATTGCAGTACCGTTTCATCTGTCCTCTGCACTCGTTTCCTGAAGGCATGTCTTTCCACGACCACATTTCGTTTTGGAATGAAATGCTCCTTCAAAGCTTTAACAGCAGATGCAAGATCGTCACCGGTACCAGGCAATGTATAAAATAGTCTCTGACCTTCAGTTCCGAGGCAATGAAGAAGTAAAGCCCGTTTTCTGGCTTCTGGCCAGGAATCTCCAGTAGCATTGATGACTAGCATGTAATTCTCAAACATCCTCAGCCATGTTACAAGTGGTATAGCAGGCTCACCGGGACAAGGCAAAAATGGACTGGGAAACGGAGCACTAACTGATGCCATCCTCAGGAAATCTTGTGAGAATAAATCGTCCTCGTCGCCAATTTTGTTATGTCTTCATGACAAGAAGCACAAGCTAGTAGAATTCTCTCAATAAACTTTTTAATAACTGATGTACAAGCAGAATAACATGCAAGCACATGTAAGCACAAGCACAGCATTCACTCTCCTTCTTCACTCTTTTACTACAGCACATATCTCTCAGCTAAGGCGCTTGAGTGCCACCTAGTGGATTATTAACGTAAGGATATCACAGAATGCAATGGAATATAGCCTGCATTAGACTTAGATATCTGCAGTGAAATGATCTGTGAGATTTAGTATTTGAGGAAGTTACCATTCATCTGTCATCTTATCATAGCACTCCACATCACAGGTGGTGCTTATTCCAGAGGGCTTATTAACCCTCCGACAGCAAACAACCGACCATTAACTACCTGGATTTTGAGGAAGTTAAAAAGGAAAATACATAATGTACAGCTTAAGTCTTTAAATTTACATTAATAAATCTCATTATAGATGCAACGCTTCATTTACAAGCGATACTTCAAGGGATACTCATAGTAGGAAAAAAATAGTAGTAGTAGTAGTAGTTCCATAGTAGGAAAAAAATACTGTGGAAGTCAATGAGACCAGAAACTGTCTGGTTACTGATATTCTTTTAAATATCATAAAATCGTCTGAATCAATTTGAAAACGGTTAAACTCAACTGTTTAACTCTGGGGGAGTTGTAAAATGAGCCTATTTCCAAAAAAAAGTGGAGTATCCCTTTAAATATCATTAGAATGTTTTGACACACATTGATATTTGAAGACTTTGATCGTTGACTTTTAAGACAATTTTAGGGTGCAATTATTGTCAATATGGGACCAAATACATTTTCCCCCATATTCATTATCATCAAATCATTTTTGTAAAGTAAGTTATTTCATAGTTTCACCAGAGACAGATATTAACTGACCACATCTCACCTCAATGCCAAAGTTGCTGCTTGGATTGTACATTGATGCCACGGCATGCCAATTGTTTGTCAGCGGATTGTAGACCTCTGTACTCCGCAAATAACTGGTTCCATCAAAACCACCAACCTTTAAATAAATACACTTTTTATTTATCTATTCTGTGCGTTTGTATATGCACATTGCACAACCATGCATGTATTTACTTAAGTGCAACCTTTAAACTGTGATTGATCCATATTTCTGTATTTGTGTTATGGTTATTATAGTTAATTAAAACTAAACCCTGATGTGTGTGTGTGTGTGTGAGTTTAATACTCACAGCATACACTAGGTCTGCATAAGCAATCACACCAACAACACTGCGGCGGCTGCTCATGGGAGCGATGAGAGTCCACTGGAACCAGTTGACTCTCATCGCTCCCATGAGCAGCCGCCACATAGGCCGGTCATTTTTGACCAGGAACACCACAAGTGTGACTATGTGCCATATTTTTTACAAAACAAAAGTTTCAAAACAAAATTCCTGGTGAAAATGTTAAGTTGACTAGTGTGATCAACAATACCAATTTTCTTTAGATTTTATTTAATATTTCCAAAATTATTCAAAAAAACAAACAAACAATAAAATACCTACTCTCAAATAAATGAGGCCTATTATTCAGAGGCAAATCAAAATATAAAACCAGTCCTAATAGTGAAAATATGGTATAATGAGTGATTTATACGTTTTTTTTTATTTTATTTTTTATGAGAGGCAGTATAGTTATTGGAGGCAGTGTGGTTCTAGCCGCTTTCCGACCAAGTAGTTACAGGAACTTAGTTATAGGAACTGTCCACTTCTAAACAGTTCTAAGAACTACTCTCCCCCAAACTCAGTTTTGCTGCTTGCGTTCGCACTGGCCAAGTGGCCATAGGAACTGGTAGGAGGGGTAACGCAAGCACGGCGTCTTTATCACTAGATGTAGCACGGCCAATACAACAACAACAAACCAGCATGGAGGAGGCTATTATTGCAATGTTCCTGTTCTGCCTTCTTGGAGGCAGTGTGGTTCTGAGAGGCAGTAATCGTTCTTGGAGGCAGTATATTTCTGTGAGGCAGTGTTGTTCCCAGTGGCAGTGTCATTCCCAGAGGCAGTGTGGTGGTTCTGAGAGGCAGTATAGTTCTTGGAGGCAGTGTGGTTCTGAGAGGCAGTATATTTCTTGGAGGCAGTGTGGTTCTGAGAGGCAGTATAGTTCTTGGAGGCAGTGTGGTTCTGAGAGGCAGTAATAGTTCTTGGAGGCAGTATATTTCTGTGAGGCAGTGTTGTTCCCAGTGGCAGTGTCATTCCCAGAGGCAGTGTGGTGGTTCTGAGAGGCAGTATAGTTCTTGGAGGCAGTGTGGTTCTGAGAGGCAGTATAGTTCTTGGAGGCAGTGTGGTTCTGAGAGGCAGTAATAGTTCTTGGAGGCAGTATATTTCTGTGAGGCAGTGTTGTTCCCAGTGGCAGTGTCATTCCCAGAGGCAGTGTGGTGGTTCTGAGAGGCAGTATAGTTCTTGGAGGCAGTGTGGTTCTGAGAGGCAGTATAGTTCTTGGAGGCAGTGTGGTTCTGAGAGGCAGTATAGTTCTTGGAGGCAGTGTGGTTCTGAGAGGCAGTATAGTTCTTGATGCAGTGTGGTTCTGAGAGGCAGTATAGTTCTTGGATGCAGTGTGGTTCTGAGAGGCAGTATAGTTCTTGGATGCAGTGTGGTTCTGAGAGGCAGTATAGTTCTGAGAGGCAGTGTGGTGGTTCTGAGAGGCAGTATAGTTCCTGGAGGCAGTGTGGTTCTTAGAGGCAGTATAGTTCTTGGAGACAGTGTGGTGGTTCTGAGAGGCAGTATAGTTCCTGGAGGCAGTGTGGTTCTTAGAGGCAGTATAGTTCTTGGATGCAGTGTGGTTCTGAGAGGGAGTGCCATTCTCAGATGCAGTGTGGTTCTGAGAGGCAGTATAGTTCTGAGAGGCAGTGTGCAGTAGCGTAGTGGCAATCGGGAGAGTCGGGACTTTTCCCGGTGGGCCGGTATTGTTTTGAGGCCGTGAGGGCCGGTCGGTCTGATAATAGTTATACTAGTGTCTGATATTATATTATTAGCAATACCATCTGGCGGCAGGCCTGATGTGCGGCCGCTTCCGCCGGTCAAACTGTCACTGTGCAACCTCTCTGTCTCCGCTCAACACTGTGTGCACTGCGAAGCTCAACCCGTTCGGCAGGTCCAACCATGTTGGACCTGGATTTTCAAAAACATAAGGGGGTCAGAGCGCGGCGGCCCCTCCCTAAATGGTATAGCCTGTCGGCCAGCCTGTGATGTAAAAAGTCACCGAACACCTCTTTTCCCGCTTCATGTTTTGAAAGTTTAACGGACGGTCGGTGTGAGTGAGTAACTTAGTACTACTGTACTGAGTAATGATGGAAGAAAGGCAAAAAAGAAAACTGAAAGGTGGCGCTGAGAAGGTCAGACTCAAAAGAAAAAAAATGATGGAGGAGGAGGCATGGAAATGCTCCAAAATTACAGACATGTTCCGGGCAACAACGAGCAAATACACTACAGGTGAAATAAACTGAGTCTGAAGCACTTGTTGTGGGCGGAGTTCGGGCTGGCAACCAGGCTAGTGCTGCGCCAGACTAATCTCAAATATTGTAAAGATTCCTTGTAAGGTTTCATTTTTTTAAATGAACAACACTACACCTGAGAGAAAGTTTAACATTTGGAATACAGCCTCTTTTTGACTGCATTTATTCATGAAACATGACACTCCATTTGTAGTCAGATTGTGCTTGAAGGAGATCATTCACTGTAGGCAGGGCAGCATATTGGGCCATGTTGGTCAATCCTGATGCTACACAACAGCTCATGTAATGAGTTATAATAAGTACAATTTAAGTTGAATGTATTGTTGTTGTTTCCCAAAAATCCTTATTTTATTACTGATATATTTGTTACTGTTTTTTTTTTTTTTTTTTTTTTTTGCTAAATATGCCGATTTTTATATTCACTCTTTAAGGGACCTTTATTTTGACATTTTTTCTTGCCGCCGCGTTGGTGCCATTTTAGAGTGTGTGCTGTGCGCGCCTCTTGCCAGTTTGTATTGAACGCGCTGGGGAGAGGTAAGCGTTTTGCAGAGCTCTTGAAATTATGAGCAAAATAAGTTTGCAAAGTGTATAAATTGGTTTAATACCCGTTTGTAATCAATGCAGGAATTGCATGGCGTGTTTTGTTGTATGTTACATGCATGAGTGGATTAATAATCTGAAGATTAATCGCGTGGGCCTTATATTGCATGAGTTTTGCGTGTATTAGCACGGTTTTGAGTCAACTGATTGGTGTTGTATCATGCAGGTGAAAGCAATGAGATGCCCTCATGGGATTTTTGTCATCTTTGTGATGTTGAACTTCAGGTATTCCACTTTTATTGCATTTTACATTCTTGTATTGTGTTAATATGTTATGCTTTAATATTATTTGTATGTTCATTAACTTTAATTGTAACAAAATGAGTTTGCATTGAACTCGCTGGGGAGAGGTGAAGGCTATGAGATGCCCTCATGTGATTTTTGTCATCTTTGTGATGTTGAACTTCAGATGCTGCGAAATCCATGCTGAACGTGACTGAATAAACCCCCATGTTGGTGAACTACAATACGTGTCCTGGTCCTATAATACACAACGCAGAGAGACTGAGAAGCGCAACAGCAGTCAGCGAGCGGACCAGTTACACTCAGACCACTGCGTAAATTGGCCATTTCATCTCCAACAAACCTGTATAGAAAACAGATGCAAGGAATGCAATGGAATATAGCCTGCATTAGACTTCGATATCTGCAGTGTGAAATGATCTGTGAGATTTAGTATTTGAGGAAGTTACCATTCATCTGTCATCTTATCATAGCACTCCACATCACAGGTGGTGCTTATTCCAGAGGGCTTATTAACCCTCCGACAGCAAACAACCGACCATTAACTACCTGGATTTTGAGGAAGTTAAAAAGGAAAATACATAATGTACAGCTTAAGTCTTTAAATTTACATTAATAAATCTCATTATAGATGCAACGCTTCATTTACAAGCGATACTTCAAGGGATACTCATAGTAGGAAAAAAATAGTAGTAGTAGTAGTAGTTCCATAGTAGGAAAAAAATACTGTGGAAGTCAATGAGACCAGAAACTGTCTGGTTACTGATATTCTTTTAAATATCATAAAATCGGCTGAATCAATTTGAAAACGGTTAAACTCAACTGTTTAACTCTGGGGGAGTTGTAAAATGAGCCTATTTCCAAAAAAAAGTGGAGTATCCCTTTAAATATCATTAGAATGTTTTGACACACATTGATATTTGAAGACTTTGATCGTTGACTTTTAAGACAATTTTAGGGTGCAATTATTGTCAATATGGGACCAAATACATTTTCCCCCATATTCATTATCATCAAATCATTTTTGTAAAGTAAGTTATTTCATAGTTTCACCAGAGACAGATATTAACTGACCACATCTCACCTCAATGCCAAAGTTGCTGCTTGGATTGTACATTGATGCCACGGCATGCCAATTGTTTGTCAGCGGATTGTAGACCTCTGTACTCCGCAAATAACTGGTTCCATCAAAACCACCAACCTTTAAATAAATACACTTTTTATTTATCTATTCTGTGCGTTTGTATATGCACATTGCACAACCATGCATGTATTTACTTAAGTGCAACCTTTAAACTGTGATTGATCCATATTTCTGTATTTGTGTTATGGTTATTATAGTTAATTAAAACTAAACCCTGATGTGTGTGTGTGTGTGTGAGTTTAATACTCACAGCATACACTAGGTCTGCATAAGCAATCACACCAACAACACTGCGGCGGCTGCTCATGGGAGCGATGAGAGTCCACTGGAACCAGTTGACTCTCATCGCTCCCATGAGCAGCCGCCACATAGGCCGGTCATTTTTGACCAGGAACACCACAAGTGTGACTATGTGCCATATTTTTTACAAAACAAAAGTTTCAAAACAAAATTCCTGGTGAAAATGTTAAGTTGACTAGTGTGATCAACAATACCAATTTTCTTTAGATTTTATTTAATATTTCCAAAATTATTCAAAAAAACAAAAACAAACAAACAATAAAATACCTACTCTCAAATAAATGAGGCCTATTATTCAGAGGCAAATCAGAATATAAAACCAGTCCTAATAGTGAAAATATGGTATAATGAGTGATTTATACGTTTTTTTTTTTATTTTATTTTTTATGAGAGGCAGTATAGTTATTGGAGGCAGTGTGGTTCTAGCCGCTTTCCGACCAAGTAGTTACAGGAACTTAGTTATAGGAACTGTCCACTTCTAAACAGTTCTAAGAACTACTCTCCCCCAAACTCAGTTTTGCTGCTTGCGTTCGCACTGGCCAAGTGGCCATAGGAACTGGTAGGAGGGGTAACGCAAGCACGGCGTCTTTATCACTAGATGTAGCACGGCCAATACAACAACAACAAACCAGCATGGAGGAGGCTATTATTGCAATGTTCCTGTTCTGCCTTCTTGGAGGCAGTGTGGTTCTGAGAGGCAGTAATAGTTCTTGGAGGCAGTATATTTCTGTGAGGCAGTGTTGTTCCCAGTGGCAGTGTCATTCCCAGAGGCAGTGTGGTGGTTCTGAGAGGCAGTATAGTTCTTGGAGGCAGTGTGGTGGTTCTGAGAGGCAGTATAGTTCTTGGAGGCAGTGTGGTGGTTCTGAGAGGCAGTATAGTTCCTGGAGGCAGTGTGGTTCTGAGAGGCAGTATAGTTCTTGGATGCAGTGTGGTTCTGAGAGGGAGTGCCATTCTCAGATGCAGTGTGGTTCTGAGAGGCAGTATAGTTCTGAGAGGCAGTGTGCAGTAGCGTAGTGGCAATCGGGAGAGTCGGGACTTTTCCCGGTGGGCCGGTATTGTTTTGAGGCCGTGAGGGCCGGTCGGTCTGATAATAGTTATACTAGTGTCTGATATTATATTATTAGCAATACCATCTGGCGGCAGGCGGCCTGATGTGCGGCCGCTTCCGCCGGTCAAACTGTCACTGTGCAACCTCTCTGTCTCCGCTCAACACTGTGTGCACTGCGAAGCTCAACCCGTTCGGCAGGTCCAACCATGTTGGACATGGATTTTCAAAAACATAGGGGGTCAGAGCGCGGCGGCCCCTCCCTAAATGGTATAGCCTGTCGGCCAGCCTGTGATGTAAAAAGTCACCGAACACCTCTTTTCCCGCTTCATGTTTTGAAAGTTTAACGGACGGTCGGTGTGAGTGAGTAACTTAGTACTACTGTACTGAGTAAAGATGGAAGAAAGGCAAAAAAGAAAACTGAAAGGTGGCGCTGAGAAGGTCAGACTCAAAAGAAAAAAAATGATGGAGGAGGAGGCATGGAAATGCTCCAAAATTACAGACATGTTCCGGGCAACAACGAGCAAATACACTACAGGTGAAATAAACTGAGTCTGAAGCACTTGTTGTGGGCGGAGTTCGGGCTGGCAACCAGGCTAGTGCTGCGCCAGACTAATCTCAAATATTGTAAAGATTCCTTGTAAGGTTTCATTTTTTTAAATGAACAACACTACACCTGAGAGAAAGTTTAACATTTGGAATACAGCCTCTTTTTGACTGCATTTATTCATGAAACATGACACTCCATTTGTAGTCAGATTGTGCTTGAAGGAGATCATTCACTGTAGGCAGGGCAGCATATTGGGCCATGTTGGTCAATCCTGATGCTACACAACAGCTCATGTAATGAGTTATAATAAGTACAATTTAAGTTGAATGTATTGTTGTTGTTTCCCAAAAATCCTTATTTTATTACTGATATATTTCTTACTGTTTTTTTTTTTTTTTTTTTTGCTAAATATGCCGATTTTTATATTCACTCTTTAAGGGACCTTTATTTTGACATTTTTTCTTGCCGCCGCGTTGGTGCCATTTTAGAGTGTGTGCGCGCCTCTTGCCAGTTTGTATTGAACGCGCTGGGGAGAGGTAAGCGTTTTGCAGAGCTCTTGAAATTATGAGCAAAATAAGTTTGCAAAGTGTATAAATTGGTTTAATACCCGTTTGTAATCAATGCAGGAATTGCATGGCGTGTTTTGTTGTATGTTACATGCATGAGTGGATTAATAATCTGAAGATTAATCGCGTGGGCCTTATATTTGTAGCAAATGCGACATATAATAATATACATAAAATGTATTAAGGGGGCCGAAGGCCAATTTAGCTCAAAGGGAAATGATTCATTGATTTGCAATGAATCTATGGAACCGAATCACTGAACCGAGCAAATGACTCGCTTAGAATTCATTTGAACGGGCCGTAATTATAACCAAATCTATAGTGAAACACTATGTCTTCTTAGCAAGGTAACTTTAAATCGAACAGTACAAGACATTAAATGTGCAAACACGACACAAGAAGATTTAACTTTTCAAATATATGGAAACCTTTATTAGCTATTCTAAACACAACTCTAAGGTCTAAACATAACTAAACATAATCACGCACACACACACACACTAGTGTTAATTTTACCAGCCATTTTTAAATTTAGTTTCAGTTTTAGTCCAGTTTCAGCATCGCTTATTAGTTTTTATCACATTTAGTCGACATCATCCCATTTTTATTTAGTCTAGTTTTAGTCGACTATAAGTCGAGCATTTTAGTCTTTATTTTAGTCCAAGAAAACATAATTTTATTCGTTTAGTTTTAGTCAAAAAAAAAAAACTGTCAACATTTTAGTCTAGTTTTAGTCAGGACATCATTTTAACCTTTTACTTTTTTGTCAGCAGATAATATTTAACATTTCCTAAAATTATTTCACATTTCAACATTTTCTCTCATCTTTTTGATAAAAAAAACACAATTTTAAGGAACACATGCAGACATGGAAGATGTTCTGACAATATTTGCATATTTATTTTGAACATTGTTAAGGTTCAAAGACACAAACACAAATGCTTGCATTTAAACAAATAAATTACACCTGACAAAGGAAACAAATAAATAAAATAAAGTGTATTATGAACTTAACACAAGTGCTGGCTGTTTAAAGCTAGTTCACATAGAATAATAAAATAAATAGATTTGAGGTCAATGTTGTGAAAAAAAAAAAACCTCCAACTGATACAACAAAAGTGCTTTCCTGCCAGCTAGTTCACATGGTATATAAAGGTAACGTTACAGTATTTAAGGTGAAACAAGGCATAGATTGCTAGAACATATGAAATCTTTTTAACTAATCTTTTTAAAGCGTCTGTCTGCTTTAATCAAATTTAACTGAAACTATAGTTGCCCGGCCAGTATAACATATCTAAGTTAGCATAAATTTAACTTCACATACAATTCTATCAACAAGTGGCTACGGTCGCTACGTGCTAAGAAGCTAACGCAACATAGCCAGCCTGGATACTAAATGCTATGAAAGTTAGCCATCATTAGTTAGTTTATCATTGTAACAAAATGTGTCCATATATCACGTCTCTTCTTTCTCCCGAGCCCCGTGCAAAGCATGTTTTACTTTTAACCTGTCGCCGCCGCCTCACCGTGAATCCAGCTCCCGTCTGCTCTATGTGTTGTGTCGGCTACTCTGACTGTGCCCGCCCGCTCCAGGTTTGAACGTGGGTGTGTGTGGCGGAAGAGCTGACGAGGAGGAGGCGGAGAAGGAGACAGGATTTGACAAAACCATATCATATAATAATATGTAATTTTCGTCTCGTCTTTGTTCGTGAACTAAAATGTCCATAGATTTTAGCCCAGTCTTTATTTACCGAACTGCATTTTCGTCTCGTCTTTATTAGTCTACGAAAATTATTTCTGATTTAGTCCCAGTTATTGTTTATTAGTGGGGATTTTAGTCTCGTCTCGTCTAGTTTTCGTTCGGTGAAAAATGTGCGTTGACGAAAATATTTTAGTTTAGTTTTCGTTAACGAAATTAACACTAACACACACACATTCATACAGTCGCGAAAGGGAAAGAGTGAGTTGGAAAGAGTGAGAGAGAAAGTTTCAACTTTCTATATGCACGTAAGACATAACCTGAAAGGACCACCAAGCATTAATTTGAACCTTCATTTCTTAGAGAGGTTATTCAATTAACATTAAAGCACCAGTTCAGTTAGAGCCTGGAGTACTTGCGCTTTGTAGTGGCTGAGGGAATTCCCTTTGTCTGCGTCGCGTCGAAGGGGGGTTTCCCGGCCGGGTCCGTTGCGTTGTTTGTTGTCTTTGAAGTGCAGGGATGGAAGTTTCTGAGTTTGCCGGTCACGTGTGACTAGCAGCCGAATGAAAAGTCTTTACGATTTCGAAGCGCGTTGCGGAGAGCCGTTCAAAACGAAGCTTTGCAGCAAACTTAACTTTGAAACGAGACTTTTACAAAAAGGAAATAAAGGAAAGAAATGAAAGTAAGACGAGTCGGATGGCTTGACTGAGCTGAATTGTAACCCTGATCTTGATGGGTTATTCGTCTGCGGGTCGAATTTGGTCTAGTCGATGTAGAAGCATGTGGACATGTTCTTTGTTTCAGAGATAAGCACGAACAGAACACTCTCTTGCTGGTTTTAGAGAGAGGCACTAACTTAACAGTTACAGAACTGAACGAACTGACAAAAATCACGACAAAAATCTCAAAATGATCTAAACATGAGGTCCTTTGTTCGGATCTTTAACTTAAACTCTAGTCCATCCTCCTAGAAACTTCAGGCCAATGGGTAATGGCATGATCTCAGGAGGTGGATCTACTTCTTTACTTATCATAATTTATGCATGGTCTGTGAGCTGGTCTCCAGCACTTAGCAGAGGCAAAAGACCATAGTTTAAACCTTATGATTATTATAATCATAAAACAAAACCTTTTACGCAGATTTCAATCAAGCCATCTTTTGAATTAGGAGAATACGATTCGTTTAAGAGTAAATGAGGCATTCACACTTCTAATGGTTGTATAACAATTACAAGAGTTAATAGTTAACAACAATTACATGATTCATATGTGATCTAAGCATTAACAAACAACACATGAATTGCAGAAAGCAATGAGACTTGTGAGGTTTGATTAAAAGTTCAAGAATTGTTCTGTGGTGAGTTTATATGATTTTATGTGTGAGATCTCCGATCTCAATCGTAAGGTTACTGAGAGTTCAACTCGAAGGGGGACGAGGCAAAGGTGTTCTGTGGAACATCTCTGTCAGGGCATCAGAGGGGTCTTTGATGTGAGCCTCTCGTTCCACCATTTTGGAGCCGATTTGTCTTAGTAACATTACCATATTGACACGTTCGTCCTGTTTAGTGCCCCTCTCTTGGGCCTGTGGGGCAATAAAAGTCCTTATCTGCAGACAGCACGGAGTCGTTCCGTGACTCTGGAATGTGGGCTCCAGAACTTGGAGTGTTGAAGCCATGTGAATTAATCCCATGAGAGATTAATTTGATTAAGTTGTGTTTGATTCGCCTCGATTCTCTACATATTGCATGAGTTTTGCGTGTATTAGCACGGTTTTGAGTCAACTGATTGGTGTTGTATCATGCAGGTGAAAGCAATGAGATGCCCTCATGGGATTTTTGTCATCTTTGTGATGTTGAACTTCAGGTATTCCACTTTTATTGCATTTTACATTCTTGTATTGTGTTAATATGTTATGCTTTAATATTATTTGTATGTTCATTAACTTTAATTGTAACAAAATGAGTTTGCATTGAACTCGCTGGGGAGAGGTGAAAGCTATGAGATGCCCTCATGTGATTTTTGTCATCTTTGTGATGTTGAACTTCAGATGCTGCGAAATCCATGCTGAACGTGACTGAATAAACCCCCATGTTGGTGAACTACAATACGTGTCCTGGTCCTATAATACACAACGCAGAGAGACTGAGAAGCGCAACAGCAGTCAGCGAGCGGACCAGTTACACTCAGACCACTGCGTAAATTGGCCATTTCATCTGCAACAAACCTGTATAGAAAACAGATGCAAGGAATGCAATGGAATATAGCCTGCATTAGACTTCGATATCTGCAGTGTGAAATGATCTGTGAGATTTAGTATTTGAGGAAGTTACCATTCATCTGTCATCTTATCATAGCACTCCACATCACAGGTGGTGCTTATTCCAGAGGGCTTATTAACCCTCCGACAGCAAACAACCGACCATTAACTACCTGGATTTTGAGGAAGTTAAAAAGGAAAATACATAATGTACAGCTTAAGTCTTTAAATTTACATTAATAAATCTCATTATAGATGCAACGCTTCATTTACAAGCGATACTTCAAGGGATACTCATAGTAGGAAAAAAATAGTAGTAGTAGTAGTAGTTCCATAGTAGGAAAAAAATACTGTGGAAGTCAATGAGACCAGAAACTGTCTGGTTACTGATGTTCTTTTAAATATCATAAAATCGGCTGAATCAATTTGAAAACGGTTAAACTCAACTGTTTAACTCTGGGGGAGTTGTAAAATGAGCCTATTTCCAAAAAAAAGTGGAGTATCCCTTTAAATATCATTAGAATGTTTTGACACACATTGATATTTGAAGACTTTGATCGTTGACTTTTAAGACAATTTTAGGGTGCAATTATTGTCAATATGGGACCAAATACATTTTCCCCCATATTCATTATCATCAAATCATTTTTGTAAAGTAAGTTATTTCATAGTTTCACCAGAGACAGATATTAACTGACCACATCTCACCTCAATGCCAAAGTTGCTGCTTGGATTGTACATTGATGCCACGGCATGCCAATTGTTTGTCAGCGGATTGTAGACCTCTGTACTCCGCAAATAACTGGTTCCATCAAAACCACCAACCTTTAAATAAATACACTTTTTATTTATCTATTCTGTGCGTTTGTATATGCACATTGCACAACCATGCATGTATTTACTTAAGTGCAACCTTTAAACTGTGATTGATCCATATTTCTGTATTTGTGTTATGGTTATTATAGTTAATTAAAACTAAACCCTGATGTGTGTGTGTGTGTGTGAGTTTAATACTCACAGCATACACTAGGTCTGCATAAGCAATCACACCAACAACACTGCGGCGGCTGCTCATGGGAGCGATGAGAGTCCACTGGAACCAGTTGACTCTCATCGCTCCCATGAGCAGCCGCCACATAGGCCGGTCATTTTTGACCAGGAACACCACAAGTGTGACTATGTGCCATATTTTTTACAAAACAAAAGTTTCAAAACAAAATTCCTGGTGAAAATGTTAAGTTGACTAGTGTGATCAACAATACCAATTTTCTTTAGATTTTATTTAATATTTCCAAAATTATTCAAAAAAACAAAAACAAACAAACAATAAAATACCTACTCTCAAATAAATGAGGCCTATTATTCAGAGGCAAATCAAAATATAAAACCAGTCCTAATAGTGAAAATATGGTATAATGAGTGATTTATACGTTTTTTTTTTATTTTATTTTTTATGAGAGGCAGTATAGTTATTGGAGGCAGTGTGGTTCTAGCCGCTTTCCGACCAAGTAGTTACAGGAACTTAGTTATAGGAACTGTCCACTTCTAAACAGTTCTAAGAACTACTCTCCCCCAAACTCAGTTTTGCTGCTTGCGTTCGCACTGGCCAAGTGGCCATAGGAACTGGTAGGAGGGGTAACGCAAGCACGGCGTCTTTATCACTAGATGTAGCACGGCCAATACAACAACAACAAACCAGCATGGAGGAGGCTATTATTGCAATGTTCCTGTTCTGCCTTCTTGGAGGCAGTGTGGTTCTGAGAGGCAGTAATCGTTCTTGGAGGCAGTATATTTCTGTGAGGCAGTGTTGTTCCCAGTGGCAGTGTCATTCCCAGAGGCAGTGTGGTGGTTCTGAGAGGCAGTATAGTTCTTGGAGGCAGTGTGGTTCTGAGAGGCAGTATAGTTCTTGGAGGCAGTGTGGTGGTTCTGAGAGGCAGTATAGTTCCTGGAGGCAGTGTGGTTCTGAGAGGCAGTATAGTTCTTGGATGCAGTGTGGTTCTGAGAGGCAGTATAGTTCTTGGATGCAGTGTGGTTCTGAGAGGGAGTGCCATTCTCAGATGCAGTGTGGTTCTGAGAGGCAGTATAGTTCTGAGAGGCAGTGTGCAGTAGCGTAGTGGCAATCGGGAGAGTCGGGACTTTTCCCGGTGGGCCGGTATTGTTTTGAGGCCGTGAGGGCCGGTCGGTCTGATAATAGTTATACTAGTGTCTGATATTATATTATTAGCAATACCATCTGGCGGCAGGCGGCCTGATGTGCGGCCGCTTCCGCCGGTCAAACTGTCACTGTGCAACCTCTCTGTCTCCGCTCAACACTGTGTGCACTGCGAAGCTCAACCCGTTCGGCAGGTCCAACCATGTTGGACCTGGATTTTCAAAAACATAGGGGGGTCAGAGCGCGGCGGCCCCTCCCTAAATGGTATAGCCTGTCGGCCAGCCTGTGATGTAAAAAGTCACCGAACACCTCTTTTCCCGCTTCATGTTTTGAAAGTTTAACGGACGGTCGGTGTGAGTGAGTAACTTAGTACTACTGTACTGAGTAATGATGGAAGAAAGGCAAAAAAGAAAACTGAAAGGTGGCGCTGAGAAGGTCAGACTCAAAAGAAAAAAATGATGGAGGAGGAGGCATGGAAATGCTCCAAAATTACAGACATGTTCCGGGCAACAACGAGCAAATACACTACAGGTGAAATAAACTGAGTCTGAAGCACTTGTTGTGGGCGGAGTTCGGGCTGGCAACCAGGCTAGTGCTGCGCCAGACTAATCTCAAATATTGTAAAGATTCCTTGTAAGGTTTCATTTTTTTAAATGAACAACACTACACCTGAGAGAAAGTTTAACATTTGGAATACAGCCTCTTTTTGACTGCATTTATTCATGAAACATGACACTCCATTTGTAGTCAGATTGTGCTTGAAGGAGATCATTCACTGTAGGCAGGGCAGCATATTGGGCCATGTTGGTCAATCCTGATGCTACACAACAGCTCATGTAATGAGTTATAATAAGTACAATTTAAGTTGAATGTATTGTTGTTGTTTCCCAAAAATCCTTATTTTATTACTGATATATTTCTTACTGTTTTTTTTTTTTTTTTTTTTTTGCTAAATATGCCGATTTTTATATTCACTCTTTAAGGGACCTTTATTTTGACATTTTTTCTTGCCGCCGCGTTGGTGCCATTTTAGAGTGTGTGCGCGCCTCTTGCCAGTTTGTATTGAACGCGCTGGGGAGAGGTAAGCGTTTTGCAGAGCTCTTGAAATTATGAGCAAAATAAGTTTGCAAAGTGTATAAATTGGTTTAATACCCGTTTGTAATCAATGCAGGAATTGCATGGCGTGTTTTGTTGTATGTTACATGCATGAGTGGATTAATAATCTGAAGATTAATCGCGTGGGCCTTATATTTTGTAGCAAATGCGACATATAATAATATACATAAAATGTATTAAGGGGGCCGAAGGCCAATTTAGCTCAAAGGGAAATGATTCATTGATTTGCAATGAATCTATGGAACCGAATCACTGAACCGAGCAAATGACTCGCTTAGAATTCATTTGAACGGCCGTAATTATAACCAAATCTATAGTGAAACACTATGTCTTCTTAGCAAGGTAACTTTAAATCGAACAGTACAAGACATTAAATGTGCAAACACGACACAAGAAGATTTAACTTTTCAAATATATGGAAACCTTTATTAGCTATTCTAAACACAACTCTAAGGTCTAAACATAACTAAACATAATCACGCACACACACACACACACATTCATACAGTCGCGAAAGGGAAAGAGTGAGTTGGAAAGAGTGAGAGAGAAAGTTTCAACTTTCTATATGCACGTAAGACATAACCTGAAAGGACCACCAAGCATTAATTTGAACCTTCATTTCTATAGAGGTTATTCAATTAACATTAAAGCACCAGTTCAGTTAGAGCCTGGAAGTACTTGCGCTTTGTAGTGGCTGAGGGAATTCCCTTTGTCTGCGTCGCGTCGAAGGGGGTTCCCGGCCGGGTCCGTTGCGTTGTTTTTGTCTTTGAAGTGCAGGGATGAAGTTTCTGAGTTTGCCGGTCACGTGTGACTAGCAGCGAATGAAAAGTCTTTACGATTTCGAAGCGCGTTGCGGAGAGCCGTTCAAAAACGAAGCTTTGCAGCAAACTTAACTTTGAAACGAGACTTTTACAAAAGAAATAAAGGAAAGAAATGAAAGTAAGACGAGTCGGATGGCTTGACTGAGCTGAATTGTAACCCTGATCTTGATGGGTTATTCGTCTGCGGGTCGAATTTGGTCTAGTCGATGTAGAAGCATGTGGACATGTTCTTTGTTTCAGAGATAAGCACGAACAGAACACTCTCTTGCTGGTTTTAGAGAGAGGCACTAACTTAACAGTTACAGAACTGAACGAACTGACAAAAATCACGACAAAAATCTCAAAATGATCTAAACATGAGGTCCTTGTTCGGATCTTTAACTTAAACTCTAGTCCACCTCCTAGAAACTCAGGCCAATGGGTAATGCATGATCTCAGGAGGTGGATCTACTTCTTTACTTATCATAATTTATGCATGGTCTGTGAGCTGGTCTCCAGCACTTAGCAGAGGCAAAAGACCATAGTTTAAACCTTATGATTATTATAATCATAAAACACAAACCTTTTACGCAGATTTCAATCAAGCCATCTTTTGAATTAGGAGAATACGATTCGTTTAAGAGTAAATGAGGCATTCACACTTCTAATGGTTGTATAACAATTACAAGAGTTAATAGTTAACAACAATTACATGATTCATATTGTGATCTAAGCATTAACAAACAACACAGAATTGCAGAAAGCAATGAGACTTGTGAGGTTTGATTAAAAGTTCAAGAATTGTTCTGTGGTGAGTTTATATGATTTATGTGTGAGATCTCCGATCTCAATCGTAAGGTTACTGAGAGTTCAACTCGAAGGGGGACGAGGCAAAGTGTTCTGTGGAACATCTCTGTCAGGCATCAGAGGGGTCTTTGATGTGAGCCTCTCGTTCCACCATTTTGGAGCCGATTTGTCTTAGTAACATTACCATATTGACACGTTCGTCCTGTTAGTGCCCCTCTCTTGGGCCTGTGGGGCGAATAAGTCCTTATCTGCAGACAGCACGGAGTCGTTCCGTGACTCTGGAATGTGGGCTCCAGAACTTGGAGTGTTGAAGCCATGTGAATTAATCCCATGAGAGATTAATTTGATTAAGTTGTGTTTGATTCGCCTCGATTCTCTACATATTGCATGAGTTTTGCGTGTATTAGCACGGTTTTGAGTCAACTGATTGGTGTTGTATCATGCAGGTGAAAGCAATGAGATGCCCTCATGGGATTTTTGTCATCTTTGTGATGTTGAACTTCAGGTATTCCACTTTTATTGCATTTTACATTCTTGTATTGTGTTAATATGTTATGCTTTAATATTATTTGTATGTTCATTAACTTTAATTGTAACAAAATGAGTTTGCATTGAACTCGCTGGGGAGAGGTGAAAGCTATGAGATGCCCTCATGTGATTTTTGTCATCTTTGTGATGTTGAACTTCAGATGCTGCGAAATCCATGCTGAACGTGACTGAATAAACCCCCATGTTGGTGAACTACAATACGTGTCCTGGTCCTATAATACACAACGCAGAGAGACTGAGAAGCGCAACAGCAGTCAGCGAGCGGACCAGTTACACTCAGACCACTGCGTAAATTGGCCATTTCATCTGCAACAAACCTGTATAGAAAACAGATGCAAGGAATGCAATGGAATATAGCCTGCATTAGACTTCGATATCTGCAGTGTGAAATGATCTGTGAGATTTAGTATTTGAGGAAGTTACCATTCATCTGTCATCTTATCATAGCACTCCACATCACAGGTGGTGCTTATTCCAGAGGGCTTATTAACCCTCCGACAGCAAACAACCGACCATTAACTACCTGGATTTTGAGGAAGTTAAAAAGGAAAATACATAATGTACAGCTTAAGTCTTTAAATTTACATTAATAAATCTCATTATAGATGCAACGCTTCATTTACAAGCGATACTTCAAGGGATACTCATAGTAGGAAAAAAATAGTAGTAGTAGTAGTAGTTCCATAGTAGGAAAAAAATACTGTGGAAGTCAATGAGACCAGAAACTGTCTGGTTACTGATGTTCTTTTAAATATCATAAAATCGGCTGAATCAATTTGAAAACGGTTAAACTCAACTGTTTAACTCTGGGGGAGTTGTAAAATGAGCCTATTTCCAAAAAAAAGTGGAGTATCCCTTTAAATATCATTAGAATGTTTTGACACACATTGATATTTGAAGACTTTGATCGTTGACTTTTAAGACAATTTTAGGGTGCAATTATTGTCAATATGGGACCAAATACATTTTCCCCCATATTCATTATCATCAAATCATTTTTGTAAAGTAAGTTATTTCATAGTTTCACCAGAGACAGATATTAACTGACCACATCTCACCTCAATGCCAAAGTTGCTGCTTGGATTGTACATTGATGCCACGGCATGCCAATTGTTTGTCAGCGGATTGTAGACCTCTGTACTCCGCAAATAACTGGTTCCATCAAAACCACCAACCTTTAAATAAATACACTTTTTATTTATCTATTCTGTGCGTTTGTATATGCACATTGCACAACCATGCATGTATTTACTTAAGTGCAACCTTTAAACTGTGATTGATCCATATTTCTGTATTTGTGTTATGGTTATTATAGTTAATTAAAACTAAACCCTGATGTGTGTGTGTGTGTGTGAGTTTAATACTCACAGCATACACTAGGTCTGCATAAGCAATCACACCAACAACACTGCGGCGGCTGCTCATGGGAGCGATGAGAGTCCACTGGAACCAGTTGACTCTCATCGCTCCCATGAGCAGCCGCCACATAGGCCGGTCATTTTGACCAGGAACACCACAAGTGTGACTATGTGCCATATTTTTTACAAAACAAAAGTTTCAAAACAAAATTCCTGGTGAAAATGTTAAGTTGACTAGTGTGATCAACAATACCAATTTTCTTTAGATTTTATTTAATATTTCCAAAATTATTCAAAAAAACAAAAACAAACAAACAATAAAATACCTACTCCCAAATAAATGAGGCCTATTATTCAGAGGCAAATCAAAATATAAAACCAGTCCTAATAGTGAAAATATGGTATAATGAGTGATTTATACGTTTTTTTTTTATTTTATTTTTTATGAGAGGCAGTATAGTTATTGGAGGCAGTGTGGTTCTAGCCGCTTTCCGACCAAGTAGTTACAGGAACTTAGTTATAGGAACTGTCCACTTCTAAACAGTTCTAAGAACTACTCTCCCCCAAACTCAGTTTTGCTGCTTGCGTTCGCACTGGCCAAGTGGCCATAGGAACTGGTAGGAGGGGTAACGCAAGCACGGCGTCTTTATCACTAGATGTAGCACGGCCAATACAACAACAACAAACCAGCATGGAGGAGGCTATTATTGCAATGTTCCTGTTCTGCCTTCTTGGAGGCAGTGTGGTTCTGAGAGGCAGTAATCGTTCTTGGAGGCAGTATATTTCTGTGAGGCAGTGTTGTTCCCAGTGGCAGTGTCATTCCCAGAGGCAGTGTGGTGGTTCTGAGAGGCAGTATAGTTCTTGGAGGCAGTGTGGTTCTGAGAGGCAGTATAGTTCTTGGAGGCAGTGTGGTTCTGAGAGGCAGTATAGTTCTTGGAGGCAGTGTGGTTCTGAGAGGCAGTATAGTTCTTGGAGGCAGTGTGGTGGTTCTGAGAGGCAGTATAGTTCCTGGAGGCAGTGTGGTTCTGAGAGGCAGTATAGTTCTTGGATGCAGTGTGGTTCTGAGAGGCAGTATAGTTCTTGGATGCAGTGTGGTTCTGAGAGGGAGTGCCATTCTCAGATGCAGTGTGGTTCTGAGAGGCAGTATAGTTCTGAGAGGCAGTGTGCAGTAGCGTAGTGGCAATCGGGAGAGTCGGGACTTTTCCGGTGGGCCGGTATTGTTTTGAGGCCGTGAGGGCCGGTCGGTCTGATAATAGTTATACTAGTGTCTGATATTATATTATTAGCAATACCATCTGGCGGCAGGCGGCCTGATGTGCGGCCGCTTCCGCCGGTCAAACTGTCACTGTGCAACCTCTCTGTCTCCGCTCAACACTGTGTGCACTGCGAAGCTCAACCCGTTCGGCAGGTCCAACCATGTTGGACATGGATTTTCAAAAACATAGGGGGGTCAGAGCGCGGCGGCCCCTCCCTAAATGGTATAGCCTGTCGGCCAGCCTGTGATGTAAAAAGTCACCGAACACCTCTTTTCCCGCTTCATGTTTTGAAAGTTTAACGGACGGTCGGTGTGAGTGAGTAACTTAGTACTACTGTACTGAGTAATGATGGAAGAAAGGCAAAAAAGAAAACTGAAAGGTGGCGCTGAGAAGGTCAGACTCAAAAGAAAAAAAATGATGGAGGAGGAGGCATGGAAATGCTCCAAAATTACAGACATGTTCCGGGCAACAACGAGCAAATACACTACAGGTGAAATAAACTGAGTCTGAAGCACTTGTTGTGGGCGGAGTTCGGGCTGGCAACCAGGCTAGTGCTGCGCCAGACTAATCTCAAATATTGTAAAGATTCCTTGTAAGGTTTCATTTTTTTTAAATGAACAACACTACACCTGAGAGAAAGTTTAACATTTGGAATACAGCCTCTTTTTGACTGCATTTATTCATGAAACATGACACTCCATTTGTAGTCAGATTGTGCTTGAAGGAGATCATTCACTGTAGGCAGGGCAGCATATTGGGCCATGTTGGTCAATCCTGATGCTACACAACAGCTCATGTAATGAGTTATAATAAGTACAATTTAAGTTGAATGTATTGTTGTTGTTTCCAAAAATCCTTATTTTATTACTGATATATTTCTTACTGTTTTTTTTTTTTTTTTTTTTTTTGCTAAATATGCCGATTTTTATATTCACTCTTTAAGGGACCTTTATTTTGACATTTTTTCTTGCCGCCGCGTTGGTGCCATTTTAGAGTGTGTGCGCGCCTCTTGCCAGTTTGTATTGAACGCGCTGGGGAGAGGTAAGCGTTTTGCAGAGCTCTTGAAATTATGAGCAAAATAAGTTTGCAAAGTGTATAAATTGGTTTAATACCCGTTTGTAATCAATGCAGGAATTGCATGGCGTGTTTTGTTGTATGTTACATGCATGAGTGGATTAATAATCTGAAGATTAATCGCGTGGGCCTTATATTGCATGAGTTTTGCGTGTATTAGCACGGTTTTGAGTCAACTGATTGGTGTTGTATCATGCAGGTGAAAGCAATGAGATGCCCTCATGGGATTTTTGTCATCTTTGTGATGTTGAACTTCAGGTATTCCACTTTTATTGCATTTTACATTCTTGTATTGTGTTAATATGTTATGCTTTAATATTATTTTTATGTTCATTAACTTTAATTGTAACAAAATGAGTTTGCATTGAACTCGCTGGGGAGAGGTGAAAGCTATGAGATGCCCTCATGTGATTTTTGTCATCTTTGTGATGTTGAACTTCAGATGCTGCGAAATCCATGCTGAACGTAGTCTCAGCCTCAGACGTCACGCCCACGGAACGTTGGCTAAACGTCTGATGCATATGGTACACTTAACTGGAAACACTTCAGGAATGTCGAAGTCGTCATCTGATTGGTTGAATTTTATCGGATTTCCGGGGGGCGTCAGTGTCGCGTTTATTTTCGGTCCGCCGGGAAACAAAGCGCAGATGTGATTGCGGAAGAAAAACTGTTGTGTTTATATGAGTGGCCTATGTGAGTGACAATGAGCATTTCTCAAGATCAGCTAAACGTAGTTGTATGTCCCCTCCAAGCTATTATGGAAGATCAAGTGAAGTACTTAATTGCGAAGGGTATATCAGCTGCGTTTGTGGACAAACATGAGACAGACGCTGACATCGCAGCTGGCCGATTCAGTATTCATATATAGGTCGCGCACACTGGATTATAAGGCACATAAGATACTGCAGAGTCAAACGTTTGACTGGGTTTGCGTTATGCATCCACTAGATGTGCTAAAGGCTAAAGGGAATGTAGCGAGTGCGCGGCGCCGGAGGTGAGGCGTTTATTTAGTAGGCGTGAGCGCACTGGGGCGGGGACGTAACTTACATTCGTGTGACAAAGCGGACATAAGATGGACATGAGCGAGTTCGTGGGTGAATTTAATAACGCGGAGCGTTGTTAGCGCCTCCGGTGACTGCTGACTGACTTGTTGCACACCGGTCTGTTGTTGTGGGGACATTTCCACGCCCCGAAACATGACGCTGAACGAAACGAACTGTAATTGGTTGTTTGACATGTCGGTCTAACGGCCTTATGGGCGGGCCTTGACCAAAGAAAGCTGCTATGAATTCCAGACCTTCAGCCGTCAGTCTGAAGGTCTGGCTACGCGAGACTATGCTGAACGTGACTGAATAAACCCCCATGTTGGTGAACTACAATACGTGTCCTGGTCCTATAATACACAACGCAGAGAGACTGAGAAGCGCAACAGCAGTCAGCGAGCGGACCAGTTACACTCAGACCACTGCGTAAATTGGCCATTTCATCTGCAACAAACCTGTATAGAAAACAGATGCAAGGAATGCAATGGAATATAGCCTGCATTAGACTTAGATATCTGCAGTGTGAAATGATCTGTGAGATTTAGTATTTGAGGAAGTTACCATTCATCTGTCATCTTATCATAGCACTCCACATCACAGGTGGTGCTTATTCCAGAGGGCTTATTAACCCTCCGACAGCAAACAACCGACCATTAACTACCTGGATTTTGAGGAAGTTAAAAGGAAAATACATAATGTACAGCTTAAGTCTTTAAATTTACATTAATAAATCTCATTATAGATGCAACGCTTCATTTACAAGCGATACTTCAAGGGATACTCATAGTAGGAAAAAAATAGTAGTAGTAGTAGTAGTTCCATAGTAGGAAAAAAATACTGTGGAAGTCAATGAGACCAGAAACTGTCTGGTTACTGATATTCTTTTAAATATCATAAAATCGGCTGAATCAATTTGAAAACGGTTAAACTCAACTGTTTAACTCTGGGGGAGTTGTAAAATGAGCCTATTTCCAAAAAAAAGTGGAGTATCCCTTTAAATATCATTAGAATGTTTTGACACACATTGATATTTGAAGACTTTGATCGTTGACTTTTAAGACAATTTTAGGGTGCAATTATTGTCAATATGGGACCAAATACATTTTCCCCCATATTCATTATCATCAAATCATTTTTGTAAAGTAAGTTATTTCATAGTTTCACCAGAGACAGATATTAACTGACCACATCTCACCTCAATGCCAAAGTTGCTGCTTGGATTGTACATTGATGCCACGGCATGCCAATTGTTTGTCAGCGGATTGTAGACCTCTGTACTCCGCAAATAACTGGTTCCATCAAAACCACCAACCTTTAAATAAATACACTTTTTATTTATCTATTCTGTGCGTTTGTATATGCACATTGCACAACCATGCATGTATTTACTTAAGTGCAACCTTTAAACTGTGATTGATCCATATTTCTGTATTTGTGTTATGGTTATTATAGTTAATTAAAACTAAACCCTGATGTGTGTGTGTGTGTGTGTGAGTTTAATACTCACAGCATACACTAGGTCTGCATAAGCAATCACACCAACAACACTGCGGCGGCTGCTCATGGGAGCGATGAGAGTCCACTGGAACCAGTTGACTCTCATCGCTCCCATGAGCAGCCGCCACATAGGCCGGTCATTTTTGACCAGGAACACCACAAGTGTGACTATGTGCCATATTTTTTACAAAACAAAAGTTTCAAAACAAAATTCCTGGTGAAAATGTTAAGTTGACTAGTGTGATCAACAATACCAATTTTCTTTAGATTTTATTTAATATTTCCAAAATTATTCAAAAAAACAAAAACAAACAATAAAATACCTACTCTCAAATAAATGAGGCCTATTATTCAGAGGCAAATCAAAATATAAAACCAGTCCTAATAGTGAAAATATGGTATAATGAGTGATTTATACGTTTTTTTTTTATTTTATTTTTTATGAGAGGCAGTATAGTTATTGGAGGCAGTGTGGTTCTAGCCGCTTTCCGACCAAGTAGTTACAGGAACTTAGTTATAGGAACTGTCCACTTCTAAACAGTTCTAAGAACTACTCTCCCCCAAACTCAGTTTTGCTGCTTGCGTTCGCACTGGCCAAGTGGCCATAGGAACTGGTAGGAGGGGTAACGCAAGCACGGCGTCTTTATCACTAGATGTAGCACGGCCAATACAACAACAACAAACCAGCATGGAGGAGGCTATTATTGCAATGTTCCTGTTCTGCCTTCTTGGAGGCAGTGTGGTTCTGAGAGGCAGTAATAGTTCTTGGAGGCAGTATATTTCTGTGAGGCAGTGTTGTTCCCAGTGGCAGTGTCATTCCCAGAGGCAGTGTGGTGGTTCTGAGAGGCAGTATAGTTCTTGGATGCAGTGTGGTTCTGAGAGGCAGTATAGTTCTTGGATGCAGTGTGGTTCTGAGAGGGAGTGCCATTCTCAGATGCAGTGTGGTTCTGAGAGGCAGTATAGTTCTGAGAGGCAGTGTGCAGTAGCGTAGTGGCAATCGGGAGAGTCGGGACTTTTCCCGGTGGGCCGGTATTGTTTTGAGGCCGTGAGGGCCGGTCGGTCTGATAATAGTTATACTAGTGTCTGATATTATATTATTAGCAATACCATCTGGCGGCAGGCGGCCTGATGTGCGGCCGCTTCCGCCGGTCAAACTGTCACTGTGCAACCTCTCTGTCTCCGCTCAACACTGTGTGCACTGCGAAGCTCAACCCGTTCGGCAGGTCCAACCATGTTGGACATGGATTTTCAAAAACATAGGGGGGTCAGAGCGCGGCGGCCCCTCCCTAAATGGTATAGCCTGTCGGCCAGCCTGTGATGTAAAAAGTCACCGAACACCTCTTTTCCCGCTTCATGTTTTGAAAGTTTAACGGACGGTCGGTGTGAGTGAGTAACTTAGTACTACTGTACTGAGTAATGATGGAAGAAAGGCAAAAAAGAAAACTGAAAGGTGGCGCTGAGAAGGTCAGACTCAAAAGAAAAAAAAATGATGGAGGAGGAGGCATGGAAATGCTCCAAAATTACAGACATGTTCCGGGCAACAACGAGCAAATACACTACAGGTGAAATAAACTGAGTCTGAAGCACTTGTTGTGGGCGGAGTTCGGGCTGGCAACCAGGCTAGTGCTGCGCCAGACTAATCTCAAATATTGTAAAGATTCCTTGTAAGGTTTCATTTTTTTAAATGAACAACACTACACCTGAGAGAAAGTTTAACATTTGGAATACAGCCTCTTTTTGACTGCATTTATTCATTAAACATGACACTCCATTTGTAGTCCGATTGTGCTTGAAGGAGATCATTCACTGTAGGCAGGGCAGCATATTGGCCCATGTTGGTCAATCCTGATGCTACACAACAGCTCATGTAATGAGTTATAATAAGTACAATTTAAGTTGAATGTATTGTTGTTGTTTCCCAAAAATCCTTATTTTATTACTGATATATTTGTTACTGTTTTTTTTTTTTTTTTTTTTTGCTAAATATGCCGATTTTTCTATTCACTCTTTAAGGGACCTTTATTTTGACATTTTTTCTTGCCGCCGCGTTGGTGCCATTTTAGAGTGTGTGCGCGCCTCTTGCCACTCCAGTTTGTATTGAACGCGCTGGGGAGAGGTAAGCGTTTTGCAGAGCTCTTGAAATTATGAGCAAAATAAGTTTGCAAAGTGTATAAATTGGTTTAATACCCGTTTGTAATCAATGCAGGAATTGCATGGCGTGTTTTGTTGTATGTTACATGCATGAGTGGATTAATAATCTGAAGATTAATCGCGTGGGCCTTATATTGCATGAGTTTTGCGTGTATTAGCACGGTTTTGAGTCAACTGATTGGTGTTGTATCATGCAGGTGAAAGCAATGAGATGCCCTCATGGGATTTTTGTCATCTTTGTGATGTTGAACTTCAGGTATTCCACTTTTATTGCATTTTACATTCTTGTATTGTGTTAATATGTTATGCTTTAATATTATTTGTATGTTCATTAACTTTAATTGTAACAAAATGAGTTTGCATTGAACTCGCTGGGGAGAGGTGAAAGCTATGAGATGCCCTCATGTGATTTTTGTCATCTTTGTGATGTTGAACTTCAGATGCTGCGAAATCCATGCTGAACGTGACTGAATAAACCCCCATGTTGGTGAACTACAATACGTGTCCTGGTCCTATAATACACAACGCAGAGAGACTGAGAAGCGCAACAGCAGTCAGCGAGCGGACCAGTTACACTCAGACCACTGCGTAAATTGGCCATTTCATCTGCAACAAACCTGTATAGAAAACAGATGCAAGGAATGCAATGGAATATAGCCTGCATTAGACTTAGATATCTGCAGTGTGAAATGATCTGTGAGATTTAGTATTTGAGGAAGTTACCATTCATCTGTCATCTTATCATAGCACTCCACATCACAGGTGGTGCTTATTCCAGAGGGCTTATTAACCCTCCGACAGCAAACAACCGACCATTAACTACCTGGATTTTGAGGAAGTTAAAAAGGAAAATACATAATGTACAGCTTAAGTCTTTAAATTTACATTAATAAATCTCATTATAGATGCAACGCTTCATTTACAAGCGATACTTCAAGGGATACTCATAGTAGGAAAAAAATAGTAGTAGTAGTAGTAGTTCCATAGTAGGAAAAAAATACTGTGGAAGTCAATGAGACCAGAAACTGTCTGGTTACTGATATTCTTTTAAATATCATAAAATCGGCTGAATCAATTTGAAAACGGTTAAACTCAACTGTTTAACTCTGGGGGAGTTGTAAAATGAGCCTATTTCCAAAAAAAAGTGGAGTATCCCTTTAAATATCATTAGAATGTTTTGACACACATTGATATTTGAAGACTTTGATCGTTGACTTTTAAGACAATTTTAGGGTGCAATTATTGTCAATATGGGACCAAATACATTTTCCCCCATATTCATTATCATCAAATCATTTTTGTAAAGTAAGTTATTTCATAGTTTCACCAGAGACAGATATTAACTGACCACATCTCACCTCAATGCCAAAGTTGCTGCTTGGATTGTACATTGATGCCACGGCATGCCAATTGTTTGTCAGCGGATTGTAGACCTCTGTACTCCGCAAATAACTGGTTCCATCAAAACCACCAACCTTTAAATAAATACACTTTTTATTTATCTATTCTGTGCGTTTGTATATGCACATTGCACAACCATGCATGTATTTACTTAAGTGCAACCTTTAAACTGTGATTGATCCATATTTCTGTATTTGTGTTATGGTTATTATAGTTAATTAAAACTAAACCCTGATGTGTGTGTGTGTGTGTGAGTTTAATACTCACAGCATACACTAGGTCTGCATAAGCAATCACACCAACAACACTGCGGCGGCTGCTCATGGGAGCGATGAGAGTCCACTGGAACCAGTTGACTCTCATCGCTCCCATGAGCAGCCGCCACATAGGCCGGTCATTTTTGACCAGGAACACCACAAGTGTGACTATGTGCCATATTTTTTACAAAACAAAAGTTTCAAAACAAAATTCCTGGTGAAAATGTTAAGTTGACTAGTGTGATCAACAATACCAATTTTCTTTAGATTTTATTTAATATTTCCAAAATTATTCAAAAAAACAAAAACAAACAAACAATAAAATACCTACTCTCAAATAAATGAGGCCTATTATTCAGAGGCAAATCAAAATATAAAACCAGTCCTAATAGTGAAAATATGGTATAATGAGTGATTTATACGTTTTTTTTTTATTTTATTTTTTATGAGAGGCAGTATAGTTATTGGAGGCAGTGTGGTTCTAGCCGCTTTCCGACCAAGTAGTTACAGGAACTTAGTTATAGGAACTGTCCACTTCTAAACAGTTCTAAGAACTACTCTCCCCCAAACTCAGTTTTGCTGCTTGCGTTCGCACTGGCCAAGTGGCCATAGGAACTGGTAGGAGGGGTAACGCAAGCACGGCGTCTTTATCACTAGATGTAGCACGGCCAATACAACAACAACAAACCAGCATGGAGGAGGCTATTATTGCAATGTTCCTGTTCTGCCTTCTTGGAGGCAGTGTGGTTCTGAGAGGCAGTAATAGTTCTTGGAGGCAGTATATTTCTGTGAGGCAGTGTTGTTCCCAGTGGCAGTGTCATTCCCAGAGGCAGTGTGGTGGTTCTGAGAGGCAGTATAGTTCTTGGAGGCAGTGTGGTTCTGAGAGGCAGTATAGTTCTTGGAGGCAGTGTGGTTCTGAGAGGCAGTATAGTTCTTGGAGGCAGTGTGGTGGTTCTGAGAGGCAGTATAGTTCTTGGAGGCAGTGTGGTGGTTCTGAGAGGCAGTATAGTTCCTGGAGGCAGTGTGGTTCTGAGAGGCAGTATAGTTCTTGGATGCAGTGTGGTTCTGAGAGGCAGTATAGTTCTTGGATGCAGTGTGGTTCTGAGAGGGAGTGCCATTCTCAGATGCAGTGTGGTTCTGAGAGGCAGTATAGTTCTGAGAGGCAGTGTGCAGTAGCGTAGTGGCAATCGGGAGAGTCGGGACTTTTCCCGGTGGGCCGGTATTGTTTTGAGGCCGTGAGGGCCGGTCGGTCTGATAATAGTTATACTAGTGTCTGATATTATATTATTAGCAATACCATCTGGCGGCAGGCGGCCTGATGTGCGGCCGCTTCCGCCGGTCAAACTGTCACTGTGCAACCTCTCTGTCTCCGCTCAACACTGTGTGCACTGCGAAGCTCAACCCGTTCGGCAGGTCCAACCATGTTGGACATGGATTTTCAAAAACATAGGGGGGTCAGAGCGCGGCGGCCCCTCCCTAAATGGTATAGCCTGTCGGCCAGCCTGTGATGTAAAAAGTCACCGAACACCTCTTTTCCCGCTTCATGTTTTGAAAGTTTAACGGACGGTCGGTGTGAGTGAGTAACTTAGTACTACTGTACTGAGTAATGATGGAAGAAAGGCAAAAAAGAAAACTGAAAGGTGGCGCTGAGAAGGTCAGACTCAAAAGAAAAAAAATGATGGAGGAGGAGGCATGGAAATGCTCCAAAATTACAGACATGTTCCGGGCAACAACGAGCAAATACACTACAGGTGAAATAAACTGAGTCTGAAGCACTTGTTGTGGGCGGAGTTCGGGCTGGCAACCAGGCTAGTGCTGCGCCAGACTAATCTCAAATATTGTAAAGATTCCTTGTAAGGTTTCATTTTTTTAAATGAACAACACTACACCTGAGAGAAAGTTTAACATTTGGAATACAGCCTCTTTTTGACTGCATTTATTCATGAAACATGACACTCCATTTGTAGTCAGATTGTGCTTGAAGGAGATCATTCACTGTAGGCAGGGCAGCATATTGGGCCATGTTGGTCAATCCTGATGCTACACAACAGCTCATGTAATGAGTTATAATAAGTACAATTTAAGTTGAATGTATTGTTGTTGTTTCCCAAAAATCCTTATTTTATTACTGATATATTTCTTACTGTTTTTTTTTTTTTTTTTTTTTGCTAAATATGCCGATTTTTATATTCACTCTTTAAGGGACCTTTATTTTGACATTTTTTCTTGCCGCCGCGTTGGTGCCATTTTAGAGTGTGTGCGCGCCTCTTGCCAGTTTGTATTGAACGCGCTGGGGAGAGGTAAGCGTTTTGCAGAGCTCTTGAAATTATGAGCAAAATAAGTTTGCAAAGTGTATAAATTGGTTTAATACCCGTTTGTAATCAATGCAGGAATTGCATGGCGTGTTTTGTTGTATGTTACATGCATGAGTGGATTAATAATCTGAAGATTAATCGCGTGGGCCTTATATTGCATGAGTTTTGCGTGTATTAGCACGGTTTTGAGTCAACTGATTGGTGTTGTATCATGCAGGTGAAAGCAATGAGATGCCCTCATGGGATTTTTGTCATCTTTGTGATGTTGAACTTCAGGTATTCCACTTTTATTGCATTTTACATTCTTGTATTGTGTTAATATGTTATGCTTTAATATTATTTGTATGTTCATTAACTTTAATTGTAACAAAATGAGTTTGCATTGAACTCGCTGGGGAGAGGTGAAAGCTATGAGATGCCCTCATGTGATTTTTGTCATCTTTGTGATGTTGAACTTCAGATGCTGCGAAATCCATGCTGAACGTAGTCTCAGCCTCAGACGTCACGCCCACGGAACGTTGGCTAAACGTCTGATGCATATGGTACACTTAACTGGAAACACTTCAGGAATGTCGAAGTCGTCATCTGATTGGTTGAATTTTATCGGATTTCCGGGGGGCGTCAGTGTCGCGTTTATTTTCGGTCCGCCGGGAAACAAAGCGCAGATGTGATTGCGGAAGAAAAACTGTTGTGTTTATATGAGTGGCCTATGTGAGTGACAATGAGCATTTCTCAAGATCAGCTAAACGTAGTTGTATGTCCCCTCCAAGCTATTATGGAAGATCAAGTGAAGTACTTAATTGCGAAGGGTATATCAGCTGCGTTTGTGGACAAACATGAGACAGACGCTGACATCGCAGCTGGCCGATTCAGTATTCATATATAGGTCGCGCACACTGGATTATAAGGCACATAAGATACTGCAGAGTCAAACGTTTGACTGGGTTTGCGTTATGCATCCACTAGATGTGCTAAAGGCTAAAGGGAATGTAGCGAGTGCGCGGCGCCGGAGGTGAGGCGTTTATTTAGTAGGCGTGAGCGCACTGGGGCGGGGACGTAACTTACATTCGTGTGACAAAGCGGACATAAGATGGACATGAGCGAGTTCGTGGGTGAATTTAATAACACGGAGCGTTGTTAGCGCCTCCGGTGACTGCTGACTGACTTGTTGCACACCGGTCTGTTGTTGTGGGGACATTTCCACGCCCCGAAACATGACGCTGAACGAAACGAACTGTAATTGGTTGTTTGACATGTCGGTCTAACGGCCTTATGGGCGGGCCTTGACCAAAGAAAGCTGCTATGAATTCCAGACCTTCAGCCGTCAGTCTGAAGGTCTGGCTACGCGAGACTATGCTGAACGTGACTGAATAAACCCCCATGTTGGTGAACTACAATACGTGTCCTGGTCCTATAATACACAACGCAGAGAGACTGAGAAGCGCAACAGCAGTCAGCGAGCGGACCAGTTACACTCAGACCACTGCGTAAATTGGCCATTTCATCTGCAACAAACCTGTATAGAAAACAGATGCAAGGAATGCAATGGAATATAGCCTGCATTAGACTTAGATATCTGCAGTGTGAAATGATCTGTGAGATTTAGTATTTGAGGAAGTTACCATTCATCTGTCATCTTATCATAGCACTCCACATCACAGGTGGTGCTTATTCCAGAGGGCTTATTAACCCTCCGACAGCAAACAACCGACCATTAACTACCTGGATTTTGAGGAAGTTAAAAGGAAAATACATAATGTACAGCTTAAGTCTTTAAATTTACATTAATAAATCTCATTATAGATGCAACGCTTCATTTACAAGCGATACTTCAAGGGATACTCATAGTAGGAAAAAAATAGTAGTAGTAGTAGTAGTTCCATAGTAGGAAAAAAATACTGTGGAAGTCAATGAGACCAGAAACTGTCTGGTTACTGATATTCTTTTAAATATCATAAAATCGGCTGAATCAATTTGAAAACGGTTAAACTCAACTGTTTAACTCTGGGGGAGTTGTAAAATGAGCCTATTTTCCAAAAAAAAGTGGAGTATCCCTTTAAATATCATTAGAATGTTTTGACACACATTGATATTTGAAGACTTTGATCGTTGACTTTTAAGACAATTTTAGGGTGCAATTATTGTCAATATGGGACCAAATACATTTTCCCCCATATTCATTATCATCAAATCATTTTTGTAAAGTAAGTTATTTCATAGTTTCACCAGAGACAGATATTAACTGACCACATCTCACCTCAATGCCAAAGTTGCTGCTTGGATTGTACATTGATGCCACGGCATGCCAATTGTTTGTCAGCGGATTGTAGACCTCTGTACTCCGCAAATAACTGGTTCCATCAAAACCACCAACCTTTAAATAAATACACTTTTTATTTATCTATTCTGTGCGTTTGTATATGCACATTGCACAACCATGCATGTATTTACTTAAGTGCAACCTTTAAACTGTGATTGATCCATATTTCTGTATTTGTGTTATGGTTATTATAGTTAATTAAAACTAAACCCTGATGTGTGTGTGTGTGTGTGTGTGTGTGAGTTTAATACTCACAGCATACACTAGGTCTGCATAAGCAATCACACCAACAACACTGCGGCGGCTGCTCATGGGAGCGATGAGAGTCCACTGGAACCAGTTGACTCTCATCGCTCCCATGAGCAGCCGCCACATAGGCCGGTCATTTTTGACCAGGAACACCACAAGTGTGACTATGTGCCATATTTTTTACAAAACAAAAGTTTCAAAACAAAATTCCTGGTGAAAATGTTAAGTTGACTAGTGTGATCAACAATACCAATTTTCTTTAGATTTTATTTAATATTTCCAAAATTATTCAAAAAAACAAAAACAAACAATAAAATACCTACTCTCAAATAAATGAGGCCTATTATTCAGAGGCAAATCAAAATATAAAACCAGTCCTAATAGTGAAAATATGGTATAATGAGTGATTTATACGTTTTTTTTTTTTTTTATTTTTTTTTTATGAGAGGCAGTATAGTTATTGGAGGCAGTGTGGTTCTAGCCGCTTTCCGACCAAGTAGTTACAGGAACTTAGTTATAGGAACTGTCCACTTCTAAACAGTTTAAGAACTACTCTCCCCAAACTCAGTTTTGCTGCTTGCGTTCGCACTGGCCAAGTGGCCATAGGAACTGGTAGGAGGGGTAACGCAAGCACGGCGTCTTTATCACTAGATGTAGCACGGCCAATACAACAACAACAAACCAGCATGGAGGAGCTATTATTGCAATGTTCCTGTTCTGCCTTCTTGGAGGCAGTGTGGTTCTGAGAGGCAGTAATAGTTCTTGGAGGCAGTATATTTCTGTGAGGCAGTGTTGTTCCCAGTGGCAGTGTCATTCCCAGAGGCAGTGTGGTGGTTCTGAGAGGCAGTATAGTTCTTGGAGGCAGTGTGGTTTCTGAGAGGCAGTATAGTTCTTGGAGGCAGTGTGGTGGTTCTGAGAGGCAGTATAGTTCTTGGATGCAGTGTGGTTCTGAGAGGGAGTGCCATTCTCAGATGCAGTGTGGTTCTGAGAGGCAGTGTGCAGTAGCGTAGTGGCAATCGGGAGAGTCGGGACTTTTCCCGGTGGGCCGGTATTGTTTTGAGGCCGTGAGGGCCGGTCGGTCTGATAATAGTTATACTAGTGTCTGATATTATATTATTAGCAATACCATCTGGCGGCAGGCGGCCTGATGTGCGGCCGCTTCCGCCGGTCAAACTGTCACTGTGCAACCTCTCTGTCTCCGCTCAACACTGTGTGCACTGCGAAGCTCAACCCGTTCGGCAGGTCCAACCATGTTGACCTGGATTTTCAAAAACATAGGGGGGTCAGAGCGCGGCGGCCCTCCCTAAATGGTATAGCCTGTCGGCCAGCCTGTGATGTAAAAAGTCACCGAACACCTCTTTTCCCGCTTCATGTTTTGAAAGTTTAACGGACGGTCGGTGTGAGTGAGTAACTTAGTACTACTGTACTGGAGTAATGATGGAAGAAAGGCAAAAAAGAAAACTGAAAGGTGGCGCTGAGAAGGTCAGACTCAAAAGAAAAAAAATGATGGAGGAGGAGGCATGGAAATGCTCCAAAATTTACAGACATGTTCCGGGCAACAACGAGCAAATACACTACAGGTGAAATAAACTGAGTCTGAAGCACTTGTTGTGGGCGGAGTTCGGGCTGGCAACCAGGCTAGTGCTGCGCCAGACTAATCTCAAATATTGTAAAGATTCCTTGTAAGGTTTCATTTTTTTAAATGAACAACACTACACCTGAGAGAAAGTTTAACATTTGGAATACAGCCTCTTTTTGACTGCATTTATTCATGAAACATGACACTCCATTTGTAGTCAGATTGTGCTTGAAGGAGATCATTCACTGTAGGGCAGGCAGCATATTGGGCCATGTTGGTCAATCCTGATGCTACACAACAGCTCATGTAATGAGTTATAATAAGTACAATTTAAGTTGAATGTATTGTTGTTGTTTCCCAAAAATCCTTATTTTATTACTGATATATTTGTTACTGTTTTTTTTTTTTTTTTTTTTGCTAAATATGCCGATTTTTATATTCACTCTTTAAGGGACCTTTATTTTGACATTTTTTCTTGCCGCCGCGTTGGTGACATTTTAGAGTGTGTGCGCGCCTCTTGCCAGTTTGTATTGAACGCGCTGGGGAGAGGTAAGCGTTTTGCAGAGCTCTTGAAATTATGAGCAAAATAAGTTTGCAAAGTGTATAAATTGGTTTAATACCCGTTTGTAATCAATGCAGGAATTGCATGGCGTGTTTTGTTGTATGTTACATGCATGAGTGGATTAATAATCTGAAGATTAATCGCGTGGGCCTCATATTGCATGAGTTTTGCGTGTATTAGCACGGTTTTGAGTAGTGATCGACCGATATATCGGCCGGCCGATATATCGGGCCGATATTTGAGGTTTTTACGTGTATCGGAATCGGCCGATACACCGATGCGCGTTCGCCGATAGTTTTTTTTTTTTCCCGCCGTTATTTATAGACAGGCGGCAACGGGCAGCTCCGTGCTGCTGGAGATGCTGCAGTTCACGTGCCCCGCCCTCCTCCACTAGCAGAGTGCAACCTGCTCTTCACGAGAATGGTAACTTAAACTTTCAAAGGATCTTTTAAATGTTTGACTCCTGAAATATTGTCAAACACTTTGAAAATGGAAACACGTCGCCCTATAACTGTTATGTGCTTGCAACTAAGCAAGTTTGTGGGTCCAAATGGAAAACGCGAATGCCTCGTCTATAAAACTTAACTGCTTGCCATTGTATTAAGAAGCTGCAAATAGTTAAGGTGTAGGTTATCCGTTCAGTATGCATTAGGACTGTCTATGAATATTCTACATTCGAATATCTATTAATTTTGAAGGTGAAAATTAATATTTGAATGTGGAAAAACACGCCCGCGGTTGCAGACTAATAACGTTACCACAGCTGCACAGCTCACTCGGAGCGCTCACTGTCGGTTCTATACTGTGAAACTTCAATCACTGAATGAACTGAAGCCTGCTATATTTGGGACAAGAGTCGCGACTCGCAAACTTAAATTGCTTGCACAAAACTCTTGTTTAGCACTCAACATTTGTTTGTTGTTCATTTAACCGACGCGCAGAGACCGTGAGGGCGAGAGAGAGAGAGAGAGAGAGTGCCTGAGCGAGTCCAGGGCGAGACAGAGTGAGCTCTGCGGTCTTGGCCATTAGTTGATTTACTTGCTTTTTAATACGTTGTCAAATATGTTTAAACTCAAATAAACCATCTAATACTAGTAGTTATGTCTCTTTTTATTAATGTGTCCTGTTATTGATGTAATGCGCGTCAACAACAAAACGCGCAACGGGATGTTCGAATATGTTTTTTAGAGGGAATATGCAAACGCCATTTGAGGAATTTTGACAGCCCTAGTATGCATACGGTAACGAACTCTGGTCATAGGATTAAGGAATGCCAACGTTATTCTGTGCTTTTTGTGGGAGATTTATTCAGCGCTCACCTGGCTGAGGTTTGGGGCGTGTGGAGTTTGTCTCCCTCGCAATCGCAGTAATATTAGAGACTAGACATGCTCATTTTATTTTATGTAGGAAAATTGAAACCATGCAGTACATGAAGTACAGTGTGCACTGTGCACTTTATTATGCTGTTGCTACTGTGTGCAATAGTGTAATTATTTAATTTATGCTTAAATATTCATTTTCAGCACTGAACTTTTTTTGTTTTACTTCATGTTTTTAATATTTTTTAAATTGTTTATCTACTTGTTCTTGTTCTACCTCACATGTTTTTACTATTTGTTAAATATTAATTTTTGAAGTTAGTTAAATGTTACTTTTATTAAATTGAGACCTGTAACATTTGTTAACATCATGTTATTTTTAAGATGTAAATTGAGGGAGCAAAATGTATCGGCTCCAAATATCGGCTCAAGAAAATCGGCAGCCCGTATCGGTCATCGGCTAAGGCTGATGGGAAAAAAATCGGTATCGGTATCGGCACTAAAAAATCCATATCGGTCGATCCCTAGTTTTGAGTCAACTGATTGGTGTTGTATCATGCAGGTGAAAGCAATGAGATGCCCTCATGGGATTTTTGTCATCTTTGTGATGTTGAACTTCAGGTATTCCACTTTTATTGCATTTTACATTCTTGTATTGTGTTAATATGTTATGCTTTAATATTATTTGTATGTTCATTAACTTTAATTGTAACAATATGAGTTTGCATTGAACTTGCTGGGGAGAGGTGAAAGCTATGAGATGCCCTCATGTGATTTTTGTCATCTTTGTGATGTTGAACTTCAGATGCTGCGAAATCCATGCTGAACGTGACTGAATAAACCCCCATGTTGGTGAACTACAATACGTGTCCTGGTCCTATAATACACAACGCAGAGAGACTGAGAAGAGCAACAGCGGTCAGCGAGCGGACCAGTTACACTCAGACCACTGCGTAAATTGGCCATTTCATCTGCAACAAACCTGTATAGAAAACAGATGCAAGGAATGCAATGGAATATAGCCTGCATTAGACTTAGATATCTAATGCAGTGTGAAATGATCTGTGAGATTTAGTATTTGAGGAAGTTACCATTCATCTGTCATCTTATCATAGCACTCCACATCACAGGTGGTGCTTATTCCATTAAACCCTCCGACAGCAAACAACCGACCATTAACTACCTGGATTTTGAGGAAGTTAAAAAGGAAAATACCATAGACTGTAAAAAAATATGGACGTAGTATCCGTGACGTCACCCGTAGGTTTCTGAAGACCGTTTTTGATGCCTAAAGTGGGCGTAGCCGACCGTCGCCATCTTGGCATTGCGTCACTCCCGGAAAATCGAAAATGGTCAACTAGGCGGGACGTGGGTGGAGCCGTGGAACCTGTTGCTGAAAACATGCCCACCTAGCTCGACGCTATCAAGTTGTCTTTGAATCCTTTAAATGGAAGATATTGGCGGTTGGATTTTGAACCGAATCAAACCAAGCTTACAATTTGAGGTAAATGAACCTGAACCTACACAACAAAACTTGAAATAACTATTTATATGTTATTGATATTAATTAATATAAACAAAGTTTAAAATGCTGCAGCACTTATAATACATGTGGTAACGTTTATTTGCAACACTTTGAAATTTGAAGCAAATCACTGAACCTGCATTTATGAGTGTGTAGCCTATTTGGATGTCAACTGAATATAACGTTATTAAGATGGGGTTAGAATCGGATTAGCTAGCATTAAAAATGTTATTACCCATTTACATTAGTTAGCGTATTTTTTACAAGCTGTGTATTTTTTTTTTTTTTTTTTTTTAGTGATCGATTTTGAGGTGATGGCCACCCGCGACAAATGCACCACGTCTGCACATAGCTTAAACTGTAAGTACTGCTATTTTACAGCTTATATTGTCTGTCTTAAAAGGACAACAACAAATCAGATTGTCATCTAAATTTGAGGTGTTGCTCCCTTCTGTTCTCCTACATGTGACAGTATTGTCAACATAAAAAATTGAGCAACATTTCATTGTTAAATTCTTATTTTTCATTACCTCATGCATTTATTAAACTCATTTATTTTCCTTCCATAGACACAGTGTGGATCATTGGTGACAGCTATGTCAGACGTGGTGCCCAGAGAGCTGCAGAGACCATGGGAAGCAACCTCAGTCTGCCAGGCGTCCGTGTCTGTTGGTTTGGTTGTGGTGGGCTGCGGTGGAAAAGACTCCGTTCTTCTCCCACTCCCTGTGAGGAAGAGCAGCACCGGATGTCCTCCTCATCCACTGTGGCGGCAATGACCTGGGGGTGGTCAGCAGCGTCCAGCTGGTGAACACCATAAAGGAGGACCTGCACCAGCTTAAACTCCGGCACCCTGGCATGAAGATCATGTTTTCAGCTGTGACCCAGAGGTGCCGGTGGAAGGCCGGTGCCAATCCAGTTAAAATTGACAAGGCGAGAAAGTTTGTTAACAGTGTTATGGCTACATTTGTTCGTAGTTTAAATAGTGCCATGATTGAGCACCCTTGCATTAGACATGACAGTCCTGGGCTATTTTTGAAAGATGGAGTTCATTTCACACCTAGGGGAAATGATATGTTTTTAAGTACATTAGCTAACTGCCTTAAAGGCCACATTCAAATGCAGTAAACTCCGTACAGTTGGCAGTGTTACTGCTTTTGAATTTTGCCTTTATGGACATTTTTGTAAGGCTCAAATATAGCCCTGACCATCATGTCTAATTTTGAGGTTTTTATGTTAATTTAGAAACACCTGTAGCCATAACACTGTTACCACCTCTGCTCTTCCTCATCCATAAATCCCCCCTTCCCTTTTAATAAAAAAGATTCAATCTTTCACCGTTGTTTGAGCAGTTTTTAAGGCATGCATTGATTTTTCATTTCATTGTTTTATGAAGTAAATTTAGAAAAATGTTTTGATTATTGTTTTAATGTTTATCAAAAATGAGTTGCCATGAACATGGGGTTATTTAAAGAAAAACAGCATAACTGCAACTTTAGATACGGTGTTTTAAACATTTTAATAATGTGAATGTGTGTGGATAACATAGGATAAGGGGGGAGTACAAGTTAAACAAAAATCTAAGCAAAGAAAAAGGGTGCAGGCAATGACAGAGAAGATATAGAGCCATGATGGAAGCTGGGATCAGAACGCTCCTCATGGATACTGGAATCAGCTCCTCTGGCACATCAACAGACAGCATGAGTACGGTTACTGACAAAGAGAAAGATGACAAGGTTAGAAAATACTAGTAAAATATATTCAGTATGGCCTGTCTTGGTTTAAAGCCCACCCACCACGACAAGGTGCAGGCCAGAGGGTTGTTCCATAAAACAAGATTAGAAAATAAGCCAGGCTTATTTTGGTTAGTCAAACTTATTGCCGGTGAATTCTGTTTCATAAAGCAAACTTAAAATAGTTCAAACTCAGTTACCCTGGAAACTTATGCTGGGAAACTAGCCTGGTCCGGGGCTGCAAGATTGACTTTCATTTTTTGATTTCGCCACTGAATGTGCGCCATCTTTAGTTTGTTACCAAGACGCAAGCCGTCCTTCTCCTGAAGCTTGTGGAGCTCCTCAATGTACCGCCACCTTATCTGCTGGCCATCTTCTCTTACCAGAACCTCAACTGTTGAGAACACATTCCGAAGAAGCTTGAGCATATGACATGGATCCAAGAGCACATGGACTTTTTGTGTGTGATCCTCAGGATGGAGAAAGTAAGGTCTCATGTCCATGATGCACAAGTTAGCACCAAGCTCCCTGATCATTGTTATGTTTTGGGAGGGTCCATCACACGTCAAGGAGACTAACTCCGATTTCATGAAGCCTAACAAGGCTCTCTCGGATGATGCTTGCTCTCTCTGTTCCTGTCATGCTGTTGATAAGAAAGTAAGCAATGGGAATCTTCCAAGACTCATTGATTGCAACAACCATGAGGACCAGTGCTTGTGTTGCCACAACATTTTCTATCTCACCACCTCCAATGTCAACATAGCCATGAATTTGGTCCCCACCAAACTCAGTTTGCTTGTGAATGTACATTTCATCCATCATCAATGAGCAAACTGTGTCCTTACCAACTTTCTTCTGCTCAGCAACGTGACTTTTTAAAGCTGTGAATGACGCAACAGTATATCCAGGATCTGCAGAGATGCTACAGTACCATTTTCGTATGGTCTGAGGATGAGGCAAAGCCAAGAGAAACTTCTCTCTCACATATTCATAGGCCTTTGGAGAGTAAAAGTGCAGTGTAGTTGCGAATTGCTTCATGTTTTCAGAAAACACCGACTTTTTCTTCTTTTGGATTCTCTGAAAAATCTCCTGGGGAACATCATCCAGACTTTCAAGAAGAGAGGCACATTCGCTTGAAATCATAAGTTTCTTCTGAAGCACTTTGATTACACCTTTCAAGGAAAAAAAACTTTTGCCTTAAGTCTCCTTGTCTGTTGGCCTTTCAACCTCAGCTTTTTGCGAGTTACACATAGCTTTTCCTTTACCTCACAAGTTTTCCTTTTAAGTGTTTTCGGAGACTCTGAAATATAGTAGCAGTGATCACTCACACCACTCCGATTTGTGTGTTGAACGCTGCTACCCAAACCAAAATCCTCACACACATTCGCTGTCAGAGTAATGTCATCATGCACGACATCTTGACCAACAAAGGCCTGTTCAGATGTGTCTTCCATCATCATGACATTGCTCTGATTGACAGCATGGCTGTTGGCACTACTCCCATTGTCTACATATGCAACCTCCTCATTACTATTTACAGCTGACATAGGGATGCCACTTACCACCTCATCAATACTTACCAAGCGTCTTCTTTTAGGCTGTTGTTCTTTGCCCTTGGAGAAAGAGAAAATGGTTGGCACAGCGGTGTTCTTCAGGCATGTCCTTCCCTAATAAAAATTAGCATGTAAAAAAGAAGCATAAAAAATATGACATTATTGGTCATATTGGCTGTTATTGGCTGTAAATGACTGTTATTCATATGAGTTTATGTTTCATTATTTGGTCTTACACTAGTATAAATGTACAGATTACATTTTCAAATTATTATTGCTATTAAAAGAATATGTAACTGTTTGCAATAACTCTCACAACAGAATCATTCTGTGTTTCGGTATCTCGCTTGGAGAACATTTTTTCAATCATGAATTTCACATTTTTTTATTTAATTTTTTTATTTTATGGTATTTGCATTTAAAGGAGCAATGTGTGATTTTTAGCGACATCTAGTGGTTCGGTTGCGAGTTTGCACCAGGTTTGCACTAAGGGCTCAGCCCACTGCTCACCCCTCCCTTTCGAAGAAGCTACGGTTGCTAAAACGGGACAAACATCTCGTCGGCTGAGACAGCAGAGAATAGCCAGAGTAAGCCAAGAGTGTGTGACATTGTCACTGTTTCTGTACCACAGTCCATTATAAACCACATCATGAATACTGTTTACAAAGCCATAGTCAGGTGAGGATCAAGGGTTTTAATATATAATTTAATAAAATAATATTAATCAGCTGATTGTCTCACAAACGTAACCAGCAGCACATTTATCCCCACATACTGTAGCAAACCCATAATACAGCGAGGGAGCAGCTATTAGGGGTGGCACGGTACATGAAAAAACACCCGAACCGTTCGGTTCGCTTGTCTCGGTTCGGAGCGTGTGTGCGTCTCACGGTTCGACGCATGCGCAATGTAACCTCGTGCCCGTATGTGACGTGTGTTTTCTTTTCGCGCGACATAAGCTTGTTCGACTTGGACCGGCGCTGCACAGAGCGACCGGTGAATAACATCACACTAGAGTGAGAACGACGGCTCCGTCACTCACTTTCGCGGTATTTGATGTCATTACCGATCGCTCTGTGCAGCGCCGGTTCAAGTTAGTAAACAAGCCAGTAAAAGTGGAGTATGGAGCGCTGCAGGTCACGGCACGCGGAGAAATAGCAAGTGGGAGAGATGAGGGAGTTGGAGGATGCGCCAGCGTCCTATAAGTCTAAGTCCGGTGTGTGGGGACATTTTTGATTTCATGTTATGGTATTTTAATATAACGTTACAGTGGCACTTTATGTTTAGATAAGAGCTTCAGTCAAATGTTTCCAAATCCTGCACTTTAATTTAAACTGAAAAAAAGGTACCCTCACTTTTTGGGAATAGAAGCATTGTTGATACTGTTTTTTTGTGTTGAGGTTGAACTTTTCACTTTATGTTTATGGCCTTTGCAATTTCTATAGCCTAATTATAGGCAATGAGGTTTCATGTATATTGACTTATTCATAAAAGACAGTGTAGTTCCTCTTTTTTTCTTTTAAAAGATAGAATTTTTGTAAGAGCTACAAAAGTTGTCAGTTCATAAATGCAAGTTAATTTCTTTTTGTAAATAAGATTTGTGTGATAAAAATGCACAAGTTCTTGTAGACATAGTGATACACATTCTCCTTTTTTTTGCCAAATAAACGAAAAGCATGTCAATTTCTTCTCTCTTGCTGTGTCAAAATCTCACCTAGCTTTCCTCTGAGATAGTCCCAAAATGTGCTTAAAGTCAAAGAGTCAAATTCAGTTTGTGCATGATTGCATGAATATAATTTTTTTTATACTGTATCATAAAGTGTGGATAATTAAGCTATATATCACATGCTGAAGTACATTTCTGAAGTGTTAAAGATTAAAAGAAAAAAATAACAAGAACCGTACAGAACCGAAAACCGTGACACTAAAACCGTGATACAAACCGAACCGTCGGTTTCGTGAACCGTGCCACCCCTAGCAGCTATATATTTTTTCTAACAGGGTAGTAATAGTTTAGCTGGCTAATATGAGCTGTTACTGTGGCTGAGCTGGGACTCGTCCGCATGAGTCCAAAGGTCGGAACTGCGCGCGCTGTTACAATCATGTCATCTCCGCATCCCATAGATACTATTTACTACACACAATAGGCTTTTTTTCTCTGATTTTGAAAAATCTTCGCGATCGACTTTAGTAAAAGTCTCTATCGACGGGTTAGTGATTCCTGTAACGTACTGTTTTACGGTCAATGACATGAATACTAATCATCAGCTGTCTCACGAACGTAACAGCACTATCCCCAACATAACAAACCCATAACACAGCGAGGGAGAACTAAGTTACATGAAACAATCCCAACTACATATTTTACACCACTCACAAGGAAAAAGTCACTACTCACGGAGTGTAAGGCTAGCTTTCCGCTACTTCTCTTTCAAGGTAGTGATGAAACACATTCTGTAGCACTGTGTGTTCGCGTTCGGCTACGGTAGGAATATGACGTCACATGGCGACCTTCATAGAAGGGGATTCCCGCGGTTATGGAGCTATTAATGTCTCATTCTAAGGTAATAAAATCATTACGGTTAATTAAGTAAGTTCTTTATACACCACTGAAAACATAGTTATGGATGTCATATTGCATTTCTGTTAATAGATACTCAACTTTGAAACACATTGCACCTTTAAGGTAGGGCTGCACAATATAGCAAAATTATCAAAATATCGCAAATATATATGTCATGATATGCATACCACAACAACTTGCAATAACTGGGGTCATGAACAAAAGACAAACAGATAATAACTCACTGCTCTTGGCTAAATAATTTTTGTAGCTTTAATAAGAATCAGTGTAGGCCTATATCTAATTCATACAGTGAAAACTAAGCAGTGTTTTATTTTTACATTTGATTATTCAGTTTCTGTTGTTAAATAAACATAATGTAGGATAACCTAAAACTAGAAACCCTGTGGTTTACACTGATGTTCAAATAACACTTCTTATGCTAGAGTAAAACATAGCTGTTCTCTGCTTCTCGGTCAGAAGCTGTAGGGATGTTTTCTTGACAAAAAAAGAATGTGAAACACGCATGTAGGTTATATAATTGTAAATATATTTAAAAGATAGTTTAAGTTTATTTTACACACTTTAAGCATTATCGTATAAGCTAA